AATCCTAATACTCCTATCGTCATCCCTCTCCGGGAATTTCACCTTCGCTAATTGACCTTGCCATTGCCTCCTGTAACTTCGCTACTTTTCTTAGTGTAAAAATACTCAACGACACGCGCAGCAGCGATCATCGTCCAATCGAAGTAACAGTTAACGCCAAAATTAAGACCAATTGTGTCTTCTCCCACAAATATAAATTTACCAAAAAACAATTCAAAGCTCTCACCCATACATTGCATCTCCGCGCGCATGACATAGAATCTCGTGTTCTTGACAAAGCTGATAACGAACCTTTAGCTCAATATGAGATCTTTATCAATTCTTTACAGGAATCCATTGACGCCTTCTCTTCTCCCCCTGCTTCAGCTACAAGCCATCCCTCGAGCAAACACACTAACCTAAACGATCCTAAGAACCGACTTCTCCCTTCTTCTTGGTGGAACGCTGATTGCAAACAGGCAATCCGAGCTAGAAACAAAGCTTGCAAAATTTATCGGAAAAATCCCACTGTCAACAACTTTCTAATTTATCGCAAACAAATTGCGGAAACCCGCAAAGTTTTAAGAGCCGCCAAGAGGGAAGGCTGGAAAAGTTATTGCTCCTCCTTGGACTTTATGACTAATTACGACTCCCACTCCCAAAATCTGGGAGATGATTAACCGTTTTCGCAACCAAAAATTAGCTCCCTCCAGTGACTCAGCTTCCATCAGCGACTTCCTTGCAGAAAAAACAATGGCCACCATTACCCCTTCAGCTTGCTCTACCAAACGCTCTAATCTTCTGGAAAACCGCAGCACCCACGAGAGCCCTTTCAGTTAGGTTGACGACCCCTTTTAGTATAACGAATTCCACCATAAATCCATAAATACGCCCTAAATACGTCCAAAGGCAATTCCAGTCCCGAAATCAATCGCATTGTTTACAAAATACTAAAAGCCCTCCCCCCTTGCTCAAAAAACTTCTCCTAAGAATCCTGAACAACCTCTTTGCGGAGGGTACTTTTTCCGATTCCTGGTCCCACTCTTTAGTATACCTCATACCCAAACCTCACGGCAAGGGTGCCCGTCCGATCGCTCTCACCTCTTGTATTCTCAAGTTGCTTGAGAAGATGATTCTAAATCGTATCCATTGGTGCACTGAATCTGGCACGATTAGCATAATTCCGGACCACCAAATATGATTTTCGCAAATTTCGATTCTGCTCTGATCCAAACCTCGCCATCCTCATTACCGAAATCCACAACAACAATCTTCTGGAAAAGGCTACCGCCCTTTTCATTGATATCAAAGCAGCCTTTGACAACGTCGTTCCCAGTATTCTGGTCGACGATCTCGTCAGAGCCGGCTTTCCTGTCAAAACCTGTCAATTTGTGCAGAATCTCATATCTGAGAGACTGGTGCAATTTGTAATCCAGGGTCGACTCTCCTCTCCTCGTATCTCACGCAAGGGCACCCCCCCCCCAAGGATCTGTTCTCAACCCTTTTCTTTTCAATTTTTACCTTAAAGATATTGCCTCTAAATTACACCCCAGAGTAAAAATCTTACAATTTGCAGATTACATTGTGATATTTGCGTCCGCCAGAAGCATTAAAAAAGCCATTCGGTGGCTCGAAACCTCTCTTTCCAGCATCAAAAGTTACTTATATTCCAGGGGGCTCGATATATCCCCTAGTAAATCGCAACTGATGGTCTTTTCCAAACAAAAAATTCCTAATCTGGAGGAACTTAAAGTTCAATTTGGTACCGATACAGTTTCTCCCTCGAAAACAGTACGTTTCTTGGGAGTCATTCTGGATCCAAAACTTTCCGGTGAACCGCACCTGGAAGCAGTCATCAATAAAGCCAGAAAGATCGCAGACGTCATTTCGGCGTTGAGGGGAGTCTGGTGGGGATCCCACCCACAACTTCTCCTCAATATATATCGAGCAGTTTTGCGTGGATATATTGAATATGCCTCCCACATTTTCTGTTTAAAATCCAGCCCTAAGTTTCACCGCCTCGAGATCATACAAAACAAAGCCATCAGAGCCTGTCTCGGTTATCGCATATCCACCCCTATCAATATTATGTTTGCCGAAGCCAAAGAGCCCCCCCCCCTTAGGCTACAACTCAAATTCTTAGCAGCCAAATATCTTATCAAAAACTTTTCAATCACCAATCACCCTGTAATTGAAACCCTTTTCCAACTGGCAATCGCTGCTCGAAATGAAACAGCCGACGCATCTTATCGACGGGATAAAATTCCCCTCCTAGATCTTTTCCTCCAAATTAAATCATTGCAACTTTCACTACATATCGCAGTAATTCCCTCCCTTTTCAACACACTTATCCATCTATTCTTTTCTCACCCCCCTCTACCATCCGGACCTTGATTTTCTTAAGGCAGATTTATAGACGCCGTAAAGGCCATTGCACGTAACAAAGTTTTAGTCATAATCGTAAGAAGCCGTAAGAAAATAGACCAATGGTTGGCGCTCACATGTAAATAATGTACATAATTGTAAGATAATAGTTAGTCGCACCGGTGTAATGGTTGATATGTTTTGAATTGCGTTTGATACTCGCCGGTGTATTAGTCAGTAAGCATAATCGTGAAGTTGTCGTCGGTTTGAGACTCGCGCGAGACGTTGGCGGACCGCGACAGGTGTCAATACTCGCGCGACTCACCCGACTCGTGCTGCCCGCCCACGGGCGGCAAGCCTAATTATTGGGAAATAGTACTCGTTCGCGCCGTACTTCCAGGAGCGCGAGCCGAGAGAGTTTCCGGAGCACGTTACTCCCGTAAGAATCGCCGGCCGGTTGAGACGGAGCACGAGCCAGAGTCGAGTGCTCGAAGAATATAACGGCGTGTGCCTGCTTGCCCGTTTTGTGTGTTTGCTTGCTGCTCGCTTGCCTGCTTGCTCGCTACTTTGTCCGCCTGCACGCCTCCCGCATTGCTATCGAGGAGGATTCGCTGCCAGAGAGGACGGACGAGAACGGCCGAAAGACTACCCAGGAGGGCGCCGGGCTGCGATACGGTGAGTCGCTTCGCTTGCTTATCACGTTTTTCTCGAATTATATCTCGCTTGCATTCGTGAGGGGATTGCCCCTTTGGTCCTTCGAACCACCCTACTACAGGCCAATCGCAAATCCGGGGAACAACTGATACCCCCCCGAGCAACCAATCACACTCGATTATTCCTTGAGCTCAAGGAGAATAATCGACTGTGATTGGTCTATTTTCTTATGGCCTTACGATTATGACTAAAACTTTGGTACGTGCAATGGCCTTAACCGTTGATTTAAGCCGTAATCTTTAAGAAATTGACCAATCACAGTCGATTGTTCTTCTCACATTCGACTGTGATTGATCAATTTCTTAAAGATTACGGCTTAAATCAACGGTTACGGCCTCTATAAGGGTTGGTTTATAATAGCCGTAACCGTTGATTTAAGCCGTAATCTTTAAGAAATTGACCAATCACAGTCGATTATTCTTCTCACATTCGACTGTGATTGGTCAATTTCTTAAAGATTACGGCTTAAATCAACGGTTATGGCTATTATAAATCAACCCTATATCAGCTTTTAATTTGATCGATAGGATCCCCAAAACAGCTGTTCAAAATGTCTTCCTTCAAGCCTTCGGTCCCATTATGCAAGACACAGTAACCTTCTACACGGATGGCTCCAAGATAGACTCCGGCAGCTAGGTGGAAGCCTCGTGCTTCTCTCCCCAGCTTCAGCGCAGCCTCATGTTTAAGCTCCCCGCTCGCGCTTCTGTCTTCACGTCTGAAGCCTGGGCAATATACAACGCTGTTCTGCTCACCTACGACCTAAATGAGACAAAATGTACTATTGTTTCTGACTCCAAAAGCGTTCTTGACGCTCTTTCAAATCCTATCACATGTCGCTCCAACTATCTCATCCCGCTAATAAAAAGCAAAATCATAGCTGCACACGAGCGTGGTAAAGAAATCCAGTTCATTTGGATCCCTTCTCATAAAGATAACGGGCAACGAAATAGCCGATGACCTAGCTAAAAAAGCGATCCGATTAGGTAATGTTACTTCTTCTTTTAAGTTGCCCCACTCTGATCTGTTCATCCAGTAGAAAGAAAAGCTAGTCACTGAATTTCACAATTACTTGTTTAACAGAGCCCGTTTTAAAGGTAATCATTTTTTTCCAAACAATCTACATCAACACCCCTAAACCTTGGTATTACAAATTATATTTAAAACGTGATGCTGTGATCACCACCTCCCGACTGAGAGCGAATCATTACAATTTAAATCATAGTTTATTCCATAAAAATCTTGTTGACGACGGCTCATGCGCTTGCGGTAATCCGACTCAAGATATTAATCATATTATTTTTCATTGCCCTCTTACAAATACACAGGCCGCAAGCCTCCGGCTTGCGATTCAAACTAATGCGGGTCCTCGCTGCGAGGATGTCTTCGCTATTTTAAAAAATTCTTCAAACAAGACTACTTGTCGACTAATAATGTCTTTCTGTAAAGCAGCGGACATCAACTTGTAACTCGCGCGCTCCGCGCGCGCACGAGCAAGCTACCGGCTCCTCTCTCTTCCTTGCTCTCCCACCTTAGCCCCTCTTAAGGCTCAGTCACAATGAGAGGAATAAGAAATAAGATAAAGGAATTAGGAATAAGGCATATTGCATCTCACTTTAATGTACGTGTACTGAAGTGAGATGCGACATTCCCTTATTCCTTATTCCTTTATCTTATTCCTTATTCTTCTCATTGTGACTGAGCCCTTAATCCCTCACCTTTTCTCCCCAATACATAGAGATATAAAATATAAAATAGAGTGCGCGAGTCATATGCTAGCACGTAAGAGGCTGCGATATAAGAATAGAAAAAGAACGCTGCATGTAGGCCCTTTCTGTCTTTGTCTACGCGCACATGCGAAACAAAGACAGAAGGGGCTCACGCGCAGCTTTCTCTTTTTATTCTACGCAGCTTTCTCTTTCTATTCCTATATCGCTTTTTCAGCTCGCTAGAGTTCTATATAAAGAGAGAAGCGACATCGAACCCCCACTATAGACTTCGCATCCCCACCATTACCTCCAGCACCGCCATATTGGGACCGCTCCATATGTCATCAAACTGATCAAACATCAAACTCCATTTAACATACTCCGTCAGCGTGAGGTTAAGATGTTCGATACACATGTTTAATACATGTTGCAGTTTTATTCTCTTCATGTTTTTTATTAAATAAATGTGGTGATTGAGTAATAATTGATGGTGAAAATTGAAAATGTCATGCACAGAGGTAAATGACGTATTGTATATATACAATCGACTCTAATTTTATTGAATGCATTATTCCAATAAGATCATAATGTATTTGAACATTACTATTTTTCTATTTTGTTAGGAAGTGAGCGCTTCCTAAATATATAATAATGACGAATGGAAGCATTACATTGATCAGGTTAGTTTAGTTATCCTTTTAAGTAGTGAAAAAATAGGTTAGTTTGCGGAGGATTAATTATTTTATATTTTATTTGTGTACGTATATGTGTGTATTAAATAGTGCCTCCTACTGCACGGTTTTTTAAATATAGCAATTTTTTCTTACAGTACACAATTGATGAGACTTCAGAAATTTCTATAAATCAATTCAATTCCGAAACTCCTTGTGATACTGCAAATAATAAACTGCTCATCGATCAACTAAAAGCTCAAAATGATGAAGCCTTACAAAAAATCATCCATCTGGAATGTGAGCATGATGCAAACCTAAACAAACTGATGGTGATGCTTTCTGCTATTAAACAAATGGAGAGTAAGATGTATTGTACGAAGCGACTATTCATGAAAGTTACAAGTTCAAGCGGACGACGATGGAAAAAGTATTATGTCAGAGTACAAAAGAAGAAAAATTTGTGATTTTTAATGAAAATCGAGATTTTTATTGCTAATATTGCATCATATACAAGAAATTTTATACAGTATTTTTAACATTCTTAAGTTTTATATCAAGTAGAATCACAATTGAGAATCACAATTATGAATTTGTAAAAAAATATATATATCGCGTACGCGATATTTATCGCGATATCTATCGATATCTATCTATTTATAATCGCGTACATTTTTATTTTATACTTCTTAAAAAAAATCTTTATTAATATTTTACTTTAACATAACAGAAATTTTAAATGTATATAAATATTCCTTGCAAGAAATAAAAACTTAAATTTTCACAACTGCAGAAATTCCTCGATTATTATAACTATTTAAGAATAAATACGTATTGACTATGTTGCAGTTGACCATAGCCATATCTGATTTGTCAACTATACGTAACATTAGATAAACAAAATATTTTTAACATTCTTAGTTTCATAATATCACAATATGTAGAATCACAATTAAGAGTTAAAATTTGTACTTCTGATATAAATCTACACATCTACTTTTGATATGAATTAAGGCACATTAAGAAGAAATGATTTTACCTTTTAAAGACGGTCAACAACCATATAATCCTATAAAATCTAGTTCTGGATTTTCATCCTGTAATTCCACAAATTGTCTTTGAAGATAACTTACCTTTCTGTTACTCTTGTTAACATATTCAACAACATATGCTGCGCGCGCATGAATATTCGTCGATAATGAACTGCAAATTCATATTTGATTTGAGTACGCTTGCTATCCATGGATTGAAAGTGTTTGTCCACAATTCGTTTATGTTTCTTTTGTAAAAAACAGTAAGTCTTTGTATACTTACTCGAATCACATCTAAGTAGAACTTTATTGTCATATTATTATCCAATAGAAACTCTTCGATTGTATCGTAAGATTTCTTATTCAGCTTATCATATTAAGTTTTGAGGCCCGCTTTTTCAAATCTTCTCTGCGACCATCGTCTTTATTATAGTGATGGGTATCATGACGCGAGTTCGGTCCATATGCCAGTAGGGTATACTAAACCGACACTTATTGTCTTTTTTCTTGAAACATGTAAACGTGTGCTTGTGCACTTGATTAGCGTATGTTTCTGGTAAATCAGTGACTGATACTAAGCACAAATTTCTGATGAGTAATATGGTTTTAGTCATATTCTCCGATATTGCTTCTTTAGGGTCATTTTCTAGCCAAAGCAAGATGTGCGCGTGTGGGCTACCTCTGTTTTGGAACTCAATGCGTTTAAAGAAATCTATCACTCTATACTTTTCAAAGGGATTGTATGAATTTTTTGCTGATAAGATTCTCATAAGTACCTCGACAATTTTGTTAAAATAAATGCAGCATATTACTGGATCTTCGTTTACTAAGCTGGCCCTCTGTAATGCTCGTAATTCGATCATTGAATCTGTCAGTTCTTGACCGTTTCCCTCTCTACTTAATCTGTACAATGTCTTTAGGAGGTGTGGCCAGCGTATTTCGTTTGCACTCATCGTTAGAAACATTGTAAGTTTCCCAAGTTGTCTTATCATCGCAAACAAATTTTTTTTCCGTGAATTCCAATATTGCATCGAGTTTGGAATAGATTTCAAAAAGGCTATATTCTTTTCCACACATTCATCCAGGTACGTTTTATCTTCTATCATACGTCGAGTAATATTCTCAGTAGAAGCGTTTACTTTGAAAGTGGAATAGAGTCCTTTGGTAACTCTCAAACGCATTATCTTTGCAGCCATATAAAGAATATGCTGTGGTGTCACTCCGCGTCGATCTTTACGTCTAATCTCGCTTGTTGCTATTCTGAACGGAGTTACTGTGGTGCCTTCTTTAAAGACTCGTGGA